CTCCTTTTTCTCTTTTTGCACCAAAATGTTTTTATTCAAACCATCCATACATTTCTTATATAATTCCAAAACAACATATTCCAGGCATTTCCATCCCTCATGATTTGAAGGAAATTTTCGAAACTAAGTTGAGCTTCCAACTCAACCTTCGGCCATCACAAAGGAAATTCCAGCATTTGTATACTAACCTCTTTAATTCAATCCTTCAATATATTAAATATTTCCTCGCCAAACCACTTAAATTTTGCATCTCTTATGTAGCTCAAGACCATCATAGTCCAAGGAAACAATAAAATAAATGTTCAGAAACCATTTAAACTTTCTAAAGGCAAACTGAAATTTCTGGTTCAACCTTGCTTGCGGCTTCAAAGATTTCCAGCAAACAATTCAACTTTAGTTCAAATTTCCTTGGTTTAAACATGGTGTTAGTTACTCAATTCAACATTTTAAACACCTAGTTAGTTACTAAAATTTTCCACTTTCAAAATTGAGTTCAAACTATCATTATTAACATCAAAATTTCCAGAAATTTTCCTGCTTGGGCTCGGGTGATCATGCCTTGAAGCAGAATGTACTCTTAACCTTTATTTCTCTGATTTAAAACTTACTAATCAACTACATGCAGGGCCTAATTAACTTGTTATTAGTCATCTAATCATGGTTATAAGTTTAAACAACAACACTAAACCAAATCAGGTTGCAAAGCTTTAAGCTAAGCTCTCGGCCAAACCAGAAATTCTTCCAGCATTTGTTTAGTCACAAACCATTTTTTTTCTATGGTTAATTCCTGTATTTTGCACTTAATTTCACATGCACAACTGCTGAATTTAACTAGCTATCATATCCAGACCAGAAATCAGTTTGATAGCAACCAAATTGAACCAAGTTAAGCTGTAATAATTAAGCTAGGCTCTCGGCAGAATTTTCTTACCCCAAACTAACCCAGAAATTTATCTCTGCTTTAACACTTCATTCGAATGCCCAATTCATCATACATGGTCTTAATCTTCCAATTCTTACTCAGCTAAAGACATTTGGGTGTTCAGATTATCACACAAAACAAAATTGGAGCTGCAATAACACCTCAAGTCTCGGTAGCAACAATTTCTCAAAACAGAAATTTTCCTAAGGTTTTGATTTCAGCATCCGATTGTATAATCTAAACATGTAATCTCTGATATAGCTTGATCAACTAATAATCAACCTATTTTAGACCAGAAATTACCTCAGCTAGCAACCAATCTTTCACACGAAATTCCAGAAATTTCCTTCCTAGCTCTCGGCCAAGTGCAGATGGTGATTCTGGTTTGGAGTTGCGGCTGAAAAGGGTTGTGGATGAAGGTAGAATTGGTGAAGCTTCCGGCAGATTCCCTTCCCTGGCTTTGCTCCAACTCACGGCTGAATCCAAGAAGTTTCCGGCAGCTCTCTCCCTCTCTCGGTGCTCTCGGTCAAGGCAGGGAAGAAATGAGGTTTTGTTGTGAATCAAGAATGAAAGAGTAGAGTGGTATTTGGAGTGAAGTTGATTTCGACTTTGGTTTGTGCAGAGAAAGAGTCGGCTGAAATGGTTGTGAGATGTAGTGTGAATTTGATCAAGTGGTTTTGTGGTGCCGCGGTTTACGAAAGGTTGCGTATCGAATTGGTTAAAATGCAATTGGTCGAAGTTGCGGTGATGGGAATTTGTCATAAGGGTCGTTTGGTTTCGCATGGAATTGTAAGGTCTTTTGGTCTTTTCACTTGGTTTCCTAATCTCAACTTAATTTCTCAAATTTATCCTCAAGGGTGATTTGAACGCCTAATAACCCCTCCCAATATACTTAACCATTTTTATCGAATAAATATCGATTAAACTTAAATATTAAGGTTCCTAACATTATATAGCGATTAACTTAATTATCCGCATCTCCAATTGTTTATTCTCAAGAATTAAAGTTATCCTACACAAAATTTATCGAATTTTCATGCCTTAAGTATGTTTAGTATAGGAATATCATATTTATCTAAAATTCATTGATTTTTATCTTAACGCGGAAATTCCTATAAACATTTAAATTATTAACGATTAAAACTAGCTATCGGAAATCAAAGAATTTATTTTAAAGTAATAGAATTAATCCAACTCAAGAAATATTAATTTAGTATAGCAAAACCGAATAATTCAATATTGGCACAATTATATTATTTATTACATAGAAATTATCTTTACCCTTTTATTTCAAAACAATTAATTACAATACTAGAATTCAAAAAAATTAATTATTAGATCAATGAAATAGTTTACCATTGAAATATGAAGTTAATGTAACAAAACTAAGAAGTTTAGTAGTTTAGCACAATTCTTTTATTTTGCACATAACGTTTATTTCTACGTACTTACTTAAAAACAATTGGACTTAGTGCTAAAATTTATTAAAGAATTAAAATGCAAATAAAATATGCACTGATATTTATATGTCTATTTTCAGGGTTCTCACATCCTCCCCTCCTTAAAATGAATTTTGTCCTCAAAATTCTTACTTTCTTGAGAAACAAATCGGAATACTTTTTCTGCATTTCTTCTTCTAACTCCCAAGTTGCTTCTTCGGAAATCCAAAGTTCCAATACTTTTGTTCTGCAATCAAGCTTAGCATGGTGATGAGCTAGAAAATTCTTTCATATAATAACATCATAACCTCGTATGTCCAATTTGATTAGATCCACTAGTATTTTATGCCCTTCAATCCAGAATTCACAGTTATTATAAGTTAAGCTACTGATTAAAATCTTATTACCCATTGATGTTTTAACTTCAAGGTCAAGGGTAATCTAACAGGTTTGACGTTAACTCCGGATGGAAAAGTTTGGTTCACAAATGAATGAGTTGCGCTATGATCAATTAACACTCTAGCTAATTGATGAGAAATGGGAAGAGTACCTTCCACGGCTTCCGAAGAATCAGGTACAGGTTGGTCATTTATAGCGTAAACCCTGGTAGGAACTTTCGGCCTATTCTCTCTAATGTTGGCTGGTTCATCATTCAGGGTATTATCCTCTTGTATTTTCGGGCAACTGGCAATTTGGTGCTCGCTGCTTCCACACTTCAAGCACTTTCCTGCTTTCCTCCAGCAACCGGCCTCGGTATGTCCAGGTTTCTTGCAATACCCACAAGTTCCCAGGAAAGTTATCGCACGACTTCCTTGTGGAGCGTTCCTAGGTTGACCTCTTCCATTTGGTCCCCCGTTAGTTCCATTATTTCTTCCTCCGGCACCTCTGGCACCAGTTCCTCGACCCACTTTGGCCAGTGGAGCATTTGTATAAGTCGGCTCCCGACTGCTGCTAGGTGCAAATCTTTTCTTGGCCTGGTAAGTTTTTACTTGAGTTCTAGCAACTTCAACCCTTTGAGCTCTTTCTACAGCATCAGCAAATGTGTCTATCCGAACAGCAGCTAATCCCTCCTGAATTTCCACGTTTAGTCCCTGCACAAACCTCCGGACACGCCTTTGTTCCGTGGCTATCAGTTCAGGAGCAAATCGGGACAATTTTGTGAACTGGACTTCATATTCGGCGACACTCATCGCCCCTTGTTTACATTTTATGAAGTCGTCCTCTCTCTTTTCTTGAATGAGAGGTGGAAGAAATTTGGCGTTGAACTCCCTTGTGAAGTTCGCCCAGGTCCTGGGAATATGATTCCTGTCCCAATTGACCCTAATTAGGTTCCACCAGGAACGAGCAGCTCCTTCAAACTGGAATGCTGCAAAAGTCACTTGCCTCTCTTCCGTATAATTTAGAGCGGCAAAAATATCAGAGATCCTTTCCCACCAACCTTCGGCTACCTCAGGTTCTGGGCCTCCGTAGAACTTAGGAGGTCCAAACTTCAGGAATCTCTCTAATGCCCGATCCTCGTAATCGATTGGGCCTCCTTGCTGATGCACCGCTCCATGGGCTTGATGCTCAGTCATGCGCTCTAACACATCAGTTATTCTATTGATTGCGGTGGCCACTGGATCTCCGGCCACGTTTCCCTGACCATGGCCTGGGTTGGCCTCAGGTTCCCTATCACTACCACCCTCGGGGTGTTGCCTAGTTGGTCTCCCACGTCCTCTATTTCTAACTTGTAGATCCATAGCCTAGTTATGCCTATTGATAAAAATAAAGTGATCAAGCGAAGATGTTGCTATTTATTTACTTGTTATTATTAAGTGAAGTCAACATGAATACCAAGAGAAAGAAAATTTAAAACACTTAAAGCATATATTCACATACCAAAGTTCATACAACTTTAAAAGCCAAACAATTCACGGTACATTTAATATTTTCACACATAACTCATATTTCGATCTTTATAAACATGAAGGAAAGCAAGTCAATAATACACCGATTATTATAACCACATAACTAATAGCTCAACCCTTAGTTTAGATTCAACTTAACCTTCATTAGTTTAGTCTTTGACAATCCCACTAGGCCCCACTCATTCTTCCGATTTCGCTTCCATAAATTCCTCTTAAATACGTAATTGGCACTAATCTTCAAGATCACACCATTGGCTCTTTACCTTTAACTTTCAAAAGTTAGACTTGATTCCTTCAATCCTACTTTTCCAAACTTAGTCATGATTTCTAGTCACATCATAATGCGATATACTGAATTCTTTTCAATTGCAAATACACCATTTAATGAAATATCTGGTATTCGGGTACAAGAATCTGACTATAGGATAATTCACACCTCAGGCTGGCCAGTCCCAAGAGTAACTTACCTATATTTGAGATTCCTACCCAACATACATGTCTAATATCCCAACTATAAACTTTTGTTCCACACTTAACGAGTCAATCCCCACAGTCCGAGAGTCCTCTCCCGGCACGAGCTCGATAAGAGCTCTGATACCACCTGTGGCGACCCCACTTTCCCCTAAGGCGAACCAAAGGGTTGGCGGGCCGTCTGCCCATCTCTCGCCAGGACTCATGCAAGCATTCTAACCTAAAACCTTGGAGTAATAAACTACTCTGTTACAAAACAAATTTTCCCGAATAAGATCATCCTTACATCCAACTTAACTTCAGAGATAGCAGAGATAAATTAGCCAGTCGAGGCTCTTAAACATCCCACGTGCTACGTACCAAAATATAAAGTCGTACCAATCCGGGTAGATAAATACATAAATCTCTATTACAAATTTACAGGCCAAGTAATCGAATTAGGGTTTACCCATTTTCCCGTTTCAAGTGGCAACCCAAAAGAAAAGTGCATTATCTCAATAACACATTACAGCCCACAGAATAAGTTATAGCATTCAAATACAATCCAAAAGGAAAACTTAAGTAAGCATCCAGCTTTCAGTTTCCAGAACCTGTTAAGGAAAACAATAAACGTGGGGTGAGCTAAAGCTCAGTGGTGCCCCAAAAACATGCAATCAATTAAAACAATTAACACGTATTGATTCGATTGAAGTAAACAAATAGGAAGGCGATAATACCCAAGTGTACCTTAGACTGGTCGAGGGATTCACCCAACGACGTTACGTCCTGAACTTACATTATTATTATAGACTCGTCGAGGGATTCACCCAACGACTTTACGTCTAGCACTTGATTGATTATTATTGACTCGTCGAGGGATTCACCCAACGACTTTACGTCTAGCACTTGATTTATTATTATTGACTCGTCGAGGGATTCACCCAACGACTTTACGTCTAGCACTTGATTGATTATTATTGACTCGTCGAGGGATTCACCCAACGACTTTACGTCTAGCACTTGATTCACAAAAAAAATGTTTTACGCAAGTCACCACTCGAAAGGCTAGTGTGATAAAGTACACATTGCTCACTTCGATGGGTCAAAACCACTTCATAGTTATAATATAGCAAGTTAATAAAGCGCTTAACCACATAACATAAAACAAGCAGGGACACTCACCAAGAGTGAAGTTCAGATGTCAAGTTGGGAATCGAATTCCGCTTCCTCGCAATATCCTAGAATATCAAATATTGAAATTATAAGCTTTTATTCAGTCTTTAGACTCGAACACATTGAGGTTTATCTAATATATTGCTAGTTTACTTTCCCATAGTAATTTCAAAAATCTACTTAGATTGAAACTTGACACAAATAGTAGAAATGTTTCTTATAATTTTCCTTGAGGTACTTTTCCTTATAAAAAGGGTAACTAGTATAAATTTTCTGGAAATAAGTCGACAAACCTCTTAATATCAATGTTAGAAAGTTACTTTGAACATTTCTTTAAAGCTATGGTTCCTGCAAAAATTATTACTAAAACTATTTTACCCTAAAATAAGGTTTCTTGCCGAGCAAGTTTCCCATGCTTTTCCCCAGAATTATTACAACTCGTATTTTGGAACTTTTCCTATAGTTAACTATAGCTTAAGGAAAGAAAATGAATTAAAATAAGACTTAGAATTTTCAAAAGCTATATAACTTATTTACTAATCGAGGCTAGTTTGAGCTAAAGGAAATTATCGAGTTGGAAAGTTTTATAATATAATACTAGCTGGAAAAATATTTCTGATTAATTTGATCACAGCTACTCGAGTTCGCAAGGTCGATACAACTTCCACAGCTCCGATTCCGTTTCGAAATTATAATATGGATCAAAATATGACAAAAATCACATAGCAAATTACTAGGGCTTCGTCAATCATTAGCCCTAGATTTCAACAAGTGCATTTCTGAATAAAATAAAATGATCAACCAAGGCTTCATCAATCATTAGCACTTGGTTTCAGCAAGCCCATCATAAGCAACTAAAAATAAAATAAAAGTAAAGCCTCCAAGACATTCCAGCAATTAACTTTCGTCACCCTGTAGTACTTAGAAAATCATTCAAATGGCCAAGAGCTTCATCAATCATTAGCTCTTGATAGCAACCAATCACTTTCAAACCAAAATTTCAACTAGAAACAAGGAGTAAAGTCACGGCTAATTTAACGCTTAAATAACTCGAGAAATTCAGATTACCACCATAGCATTTTACTAGGCTCAATGCCATTCACATACCAGAAAATTTTAGCATGTAAGCTTCACTTGAAATTCAGAAATTCAAATCACAGATAGGCCCAACATTCGATTCAAGTCAAAATTCATTTTCCTGAAGAAACAGGACATTAAGTCAAGACAGCCTACTTTGAGGAGTAACGTACAGCCGTACACATGGAGGAAAAATATAAAATTTCTACAGAACCAAGGCCCATGTTTCTAGTTTCAAATGCCACTGACGGCACCTTAAACGGATTTTTCTACACCAAGATATAAGCATTTTACTGAAATTGGTCAGGGACATCCAAAAATCTGAAATGTCATTTTTCACATGTGAAAAACTCCTTTTTCTCTTTTTGCACCAAAATGTTTTTATTCAAACCATCCATACATTTCTTATATAATTCCAAAACAACATATTCCAGGCATTTCCATCCCTCATGATTTGAAGGAAATTTTCGAAACTAAGTTGAGCTTCCAACTCAACCTTCGGCCATCACAAAGGAAATTCCAGCATTTGTATACTAACCTCTTTAATTCAATCCTTCAATATATTAAATATTTCCTCGCCAAACCACTTAAATTTTGCATCTCTTATGTAGCTCAAGACCATCATAGTCCAAGGAAACAATAAAATAAATGTTCAGAAACCATTTAAACTTTCTAAAGGCAAACTGAAATTTCTGGTTCAACCTTGCTTGCGGCTTCAAAGATTTCCAGCAAACAATTCAACTTTAGTTCAAATTTCCTTGGTTTAAACATGGTGTTAGTTACTCAATTCAACATTTTAAACACCTAGTTAGTTACTAAAATTTTCCACTTTCAAAATTGAGTTCAAACTATCATTATTAACATCAAAATTTCCAGAAATTTTCCTGCTTGGGCTCGGGTGATCATGCCTTGAAGCAGAATGTACTCTTAACCTTTATTTCTCTGATTTAAAACTTACTAATCAACTACATGCAGGGCCTAATTAACTTGTTATTAGTCATCTAATCATGGTTATAAGTTTAAACAACAACACTAAACCAAATCAGGTTGCAAAGCTTTAAGCTAAGCTCTCGGCCAAACCAGAAATTCTTCCAGCATTTGTTTAGTCACAAACCATTTTTTTTCTATGGTTAATTCCTGTATTTTGCACTTAATTTCACATGCACAACTGCTGAATTTAACTAGCTATCATATCCAGACCAGAAATCAGTTTGATAGCAACCAAATTGAACCAAGTTAAGCTGTAATAATTAAGCTAGGCTCTCGGCAGAATTTTCTTACCCCAAACTAACCCAGAAATTTATCTCTGCTTTAACACTTCATTCGAATGCCCAATTCATCATACATGGTCTTAATCTTCCAATTCTTACTCAGCTAAAGACATTTGGGTGTTCAGATTATCACACAAAACAAAATTGGAGCTGCAATAACACCTCAAGTCTCGGTAGCAACAATTTCTCAAAACAGAAATTTTCCTAAGGTTTTGATTTCAGCATCCGATTGTATAATCTAAACATGTAATCTCTGATATAGCTTGATCAACTAATAATCAACCTATTTTAGACCAGAAATTACCTCAGCTAGCAACCAATCTTTCACACGAAATTCCAGAAATTTCCTTCCTAGCTCTCGGCCAAGTGCAGATGGTGATTCTGGTTTGGAGTTGCGGCTGAAAAGGGTTGTGGATGAAGGTAGAATTGGTGAAGCTTCCGGCAGATTCCCTTCCCTGGCTTTGCTCCAACTCACGGCTGAATCCAAGAAGTTTCCGGCAGCTCTCTCCCTCTCTCGGTGCTCTCGGTCAAGGCAGGGAAGAAATGAGGTTTTGTTGTGAATCAAGAATGAAAGAGTAGAGTGGTATTTGGAGTGAAGTTGATTTCGACTTTGGTTTGTGCAGAGAAAGAGTCGGCTGAAATGGTTGTGAGATGTAGTGTGAATTTGATCAAGTGGTTTTGTGGTGCCGCGGTTTACGAAAGGTTGCGTATCGAATTGGTTAAAATGCAATTGGTCGAAGTTGCGGTGATGGGAATTTGTCATAAGGGTCGTTTGGTTTCGCATGGAATTGTAAGGTCTTTTGGTCTTTTCACTTGGTTTCCTAATCTCAACTTAATTTCTCAAATTTATCCTCAAGGGTGATTTGAACGCCTAATAACCCCTCCCAATATACTTAACCATTTTTATCGAATAAATATCGATTAAACTTAAATATTAAGGTTCCTAACATTATATAGCGATTAACTTAATTATCCGCATCTCCAATTGTTTATTCTCAAGAATTAAAGTTATCCTACACAAAATTTATCGAATTTTCATGCCTTAAGTATGTTTAGTATAGGAATATCATATTTATCTAAAATTCATTGATTTTTATCTTAACGCGGAAATTCCTATAAACATTTAAATTATTAACGATTAAAACTAGCTATCGGAAATCAAAGAATTTATTTTAAAGTAATAGAATTAATCCAACTCAAGAAATATTAATTTAGTATAGCAAAACCGAATAATTCAATATTGGCACAATTATATTATTTATTACATAGAAATTATCTTTACCCTTTTATTTCAAAACAATTAATTACAATACTAGAATTCAAAAAAATTAATTATTAGATCAATGAAATAGTTTACCATTGAAATATGAAGTTAATGTAACAAAACTAAGAAGTTTAGTAGTTTAGCACAATTCTTTTATTTTGCACATAACGTTTATTTCTACGTACTTACTTAAAAACAATTGGACTTAGTGCTAAAATTTATTAAAGAATTAAAATGCAAATAAAATATGCACTGATATTTATATGTCTATTTTCAGGGTTCTCACATCCTCCCCTCCTTAAAATGAATTTTGTCCTCAAAATTCTTACTTTCTTGAGAAACAAATCGGAATACTTTTTCTGCATTTCTTCTTCTAACTCCCAAGTTGCTTCTTCGGAAATCCAAAGTTCCAATACTTTTGTTCTGCAATCAAGCTTAGCATGGTGATGAGCTAGAAAATTCTTTCATATAATAACATCATAACCTCGTATGTCCAATTTGATTAGATCCACTAGTATTTTATGCCCTTCAATCCAGAATTCACAGTTATTATAAGTTAAGCTACTGATTAAAATCTTATTACCCATTGATATTTTAACTTCAAGGTCAAGGGTAATCTAACAGGTTTGACGTTAACTCCGGATGGAAAAGTTTGGTTCACAAATGAATGAGTTGCGCTATGATCAATTAACACTCTAGCTAATTGATGAGAAATGGGAAGAGTACCTTCCACGGCTTCCGAAGAATCAGGTACAGGTTGGTCATTTATAGCGTAAACCCTGGTAGGAACTTTCGGCCTATTCTCTCTAATGTTGGCTGGTTCATCATTCAGGGTATTATCCTCTTGTATTTTCGGGCAACCGGCAATTTGGTGCTCGCTGCTTCCACACTTCAAGCACTTTCCTGCTTTCCTCCAGCAACCGGCCTCGGTATGTCCAGGTTTCTTGCAATACCCACAAGTTCCCAGGAAAGTTATCGCACGACTTCCTTGTGGAGCGTTCCTAGGTTGACCTCTTCCATTTGGTCCCCCGTTAGTTCCATTATTTCTTCCTCCGGCACCTCTGGCACCAGTTCCTCGACCCACTTTGGCCAGTGGAGCATTTGTATAAGTCGGCTCCCGACTGCTGCTAGGTGCAAATCTTTTCTTGGCCTGGTAAGTTTTTACTTGAGTTCTAGCAACTTCAACCCTTTGAGCTCTTTCTACAGCATCAGCAAATGTGTCTATCCGAACAGCAGCTAATCCCTCCTGAATTTCCACGTTTAGTCCCTGCACAAACCTCCGGACACGCCTTTGTTCCGTGGCTATCAGTTCAGGAGCAAATCGGGACAATTTTGTGAACTGGACTTCATATTCGGCGACACTCATCGCCCCTTGTTTACATTTTATGAAGTCGTCCTCTCTCTTTTCTTGAATGAGAGGTGGAAGAAATTTGGCGTTGAACTCCCTTGTGAAGTTCGCCCAGGTCCTGGGAATATGATTCCTGTCCCAATTGACCCTAATTAGGTTCCACCAGGAACGAGCAGCTCCTTCAAACTGGAATGCTGCAAAAGTCACTTGCCTCTCTTCCGTATATTTTAGAGCGGCAAAAATATCAGAGATCCTTTCCCACCAACCTTCGGCTACCTCAGGTTCTGGGCCTCCGTAGAACTTAGGAGGTCCAAACTTCAGGAATCTCTCTAATGCCCGATCCTCGTAATCGATTGGGCCTCCTTGCTGATGCACCGCTCCATGGGCTTGATGCTCAGTCATGCGCTCTAACACATCAGTTATTCTATTGATTGCGGTGGCCACTGGATCTCCGGCCACGTTTCCCTGACCATGGCCTGGGTTGGCCTCAGGTTCCCTATCACTACCACCCTCGGGGTGTTGCCTAGTTGGTCTCCCACGTCCTCTATTTCTAACTTGTAGATCCATAGCCTAGTTATGCCTATTGATAAAAATAAAGTGATCAAGCGAAGATGTTGCTATTTATTTACTTGTTATTATTAAGTGAAGTCAACATGAATACCAAGAGAAAGAAAATTTAAAACACTTAAAGCATATATTCACATACCAAAGTTCATACAACTTTAAAAGCCAAACAATTCACGGTACATTTAATATTTTCACACATAACTCATATTTCGATCTTTATAAACATGAAGGAAAGCAAGTCAATAATACACCGATTATTATAACCACATAACTAATAGCTCAACCCTTAGTTTAGATTCAACTTAACCTTCATTAGTTTAGTCTTTGACAATCCCACTAGGCCCCACTCATTCTTCCGATTTCGCTTCCATAAATTCCTCTTAAATACGTAATTGGCACTAAAACACATAACAAACAAGCAAACCAACAAAACACACCACGTTGACTCCACAGTCCTCATGCTGACGCTCATCTTGGAAACACATACCGTCTTCTCGCGCTAACCGACGTGGGTCGCTAATCGTCCTCATGCTACTTCTCCTCTAGTTCCATCCTAGCGAGCGTTCGCCGTGCTGTACCCCCGGGTCCGTCGCTTTCCTCGCTTTGCTCGTGCTCATCTTCTGGCTCTTTCCTACTGCTCGGGCGCGCGCCGCTCCTTTCGATGGTTCGCACTCGACATCCTCAACCCGGCGGCCCTTCCACGTCCCTGCGACCCCCCCTCTGACGATAGTGACAAATCGCTTGTATGTCCATTACGTCCTTCGATGTCTAGTGCTCTTCCTCGGTCCTCTTTATCACTATGTGCTCTCCACGCGCCTCGACGATTCAGCCTCACACCCCTCCGCCTGTTGTCTATCCCTGCCTGCGCTCCTTGCCAGTTGCCATGCCTCTACTATGTCCATCTACGTTTGCTGTTCTCGACCGTCCCCCCTCGCGGCCTGCAGTCTGGCCGGTGTTCCCCGTTGCATCTATGCCATCACGGCTTAGCTCCATATCTTCTATGTCTTAGTGCGACTCTCGCCACGGCACTACCTTCGAACCAACTGCGGCCACCCACCCGGTTCGTCTCCACGTACCTTTCTTGGAGCGCCGGTATCTTTTGCTCCCCCCCAGCTGCTGTAGCCCCGATCAACCACTACTCGTGGCACTCTACCACTCCTCAAACCATGCCCTCCTGGTCTTTTCTCTTAAAATTCCCACCACACACAACCTTGCAGCCTACCCCCGGGCCGCCATCTGCTCAGCTATAATTGCTAGACTACATTGTCGTCGCTACCTCATCGCCCTCCTCTTCTCCTCCTTTCTCCAACTTGCGTCGTCCCCGTAGGTGCACCCCACCCCCGGCCACCCGAGGCGCAACTCGTCCCGCCCGCCTCTCTTCTGCGTGCCCGGGCCCGCTCACCGAGAAAGACGCGCACCCAGCCCCATCTTCTTCCATGCTTCCATAAATTCCTCTTAAATACGTAATTGGCACTAATCTTCAAGATCACACCATTGGCTCTTTACCTTTAACTTTCAAAAGTTAGACTTGATTCCTTCAATCCTACTTTTCCAAACTTAGTCATGATTTCTAGTCACATCATAATGCGATATACTGAATTCTTTTCAATTGCAAATACACCATTTAATGAAATATCTGGTATTCGGGTACAAGAATCTGACTATAGGATAATTCACACCTCAGGCTGGCCAGTCCCAAGAGTAACTTACCTATATTTGAGATTCCTACCCAACATACATGTCTAATATCCCAACTATAAACTTTTGTTCCACACTTAACGAGTCAATCCCCACAGTCCGAGAGTCCTCTCCCGGCACGAGCTCGATAAGAGCTCTGATACCACCTGTGGCGACCCCACTTTCCCCTAAGGCGAACCAAAGGGTTGGCGGGCCGTCTGCCCAACTCTCGCCAGGACTCATGCAAGCATTCTAACCTAAAACCTTGGAGTAATAAACTACTCTGTTACAAAACAAATTTTCCCGAATAAGATCATCCTTACATCCAACTTAACTTCAGAGATAGCAGAGATAAATTAGCCAGTCGAGGCTCTTAAACATCCCACGTGCTACGTACCAAAATATAAAGTCGTACCAATCCGGGTAGATAAATACATAAATCTCTATTACAAATTTACAGGCCAAGTAATCGAATTAGGGTTTACCCATTTTCCCGTTTCAAGTGGCAACCCAAAAGAAAAGTGCATTATCTCAATAACACATTACAGCCCACAGAATAAGTTATAGCATTCAAATACAATCCAAAAGGAAAACTTAAGTAAGCATCCAACTTTCAGTTTCCAGAACCTGTTAAGGAAAACAATAAACGTGGGGTGAGCTAAAGCTCAGTGGTGCCCCAAAAACATGCAATCAATTAAAACAATTAACACGTATTGATTCGATTGAAGTAAACAAATAGGAAGGCGATAATACCCAAGTGTACCTTAGACTGGTCGAGGGATTCACCCAACGACGTTACGTCCTGAACTTACATTATTATTATAGACTCGTCGAGGGATTCACCCAACGACTTTACGTCTAGCACTTGATTGATTATTATTGACTCGTCGAGGGATTCACCCAACGACTTTACGTCTAGCACTTGATTTATTATTATTGACTCGTCGAGGGATTCACCCAACGACTTTACGTCTAGCACTTGATTTATTATTATTGACTCGTCGAGGGATTCACCCAACGACTTTACGTCTAGCACTTGATTCACAAAAAAAATGTTTTACGCAAGTCACCACTCGAAAGGCTAGTGTGATAAAGTACACATTGCTTACTTCGATGGGTCAAAACCACTTCATAGTTATAATATAGCAAGTTAATAAAGCGCTTAACCACATAACATAAAACAAGCAGGGACACTCACCAAGAGTGAAGTTCAGATGTCAAGTTGGGAATCGAATTCCGCTTCCTCGCAATATCCTAGAATATCAAATATTGAAATTATAAGCTTTTATTCAGTCTTTAGACTCGAACACATTGAGGTTTATCTAATATATTGCTAGTTTACTTTCCCATAGTAATTTCAAAAATCTACTTAGATTGAAACTTGACACAAATAGTAGAAATGTTTCTTATAATTTTCCTTGAGGTACTTTTCCTTATAAAAAGGGTAACTAGTATAAATTTTCTGGAAATAAGTCGACAAACCTCTTAATATCAATGTTAGAAAGTTACTTTGAACATTTCTTTAAAGCTATGGTTCCTACAAAAATTATTACTAAAACTATTTTACCCTAAAATAAGGTTTCTTGCCGAGCAAGTTTCCCATGCTTTTCCCCAGAATTATTACAACTCGTATTTTGGAACTTTTCCTATAGTTAACTATAGCTTAAGGAAAGAAAATGAATTAAAATAAGACTTAGAATTTTCAAAAGCTATATAACTTATTTACTAATCGAGGCTAGTTTGAGCTAAAGGAAATTATCGAGTTGGAAAGTTTTATAATATAATACTAGCTGGAAAAATATTTCTGATTAATTTGATCACAGCTACTCGAGTTCGCAAGGTCGATACAACTTCCACAGCTCCGATTCCGTT